CCCTGTCCCCAAGTGACCCCAGCTGCAGCGGACAGTGACCCCGAACCCGCCTCCTGCCCCGCTTAGGCCTCCTAATCCCAAAGCGGCCCTATTCTGGCCAGGGGATCCATTTCAGCCTGCAGGGACCTCTCCTGACCACAGGGATTCATACCTGGGGGGACCCAGCTCTGCCAGGAGACCCATCCTGCCAAAGGGAACAATCCTGCCATAGGGATCCATCCTGCCTTTTGGACTCATCCTGCCATAGGGATCCATCCTGCCACAGGGACTCATCCTGCCATACGGACTCATCCTGCCATACGGACTCATCCTGCCATAGGGATCCATCCCTTTCCCAGGGACTTGCGGTGCTGGAAGAGCCACCTCCACTGGGTGCATCCTGTCCTGTGCAGGGACTCGATCCTGCCGGCGGCTCCGGGGGCATCCATAGCCCCAGGTCCTTCCCCAGCAGGAGCTGCTAATTCAGCACAGCTGGGCAAGGGCTGGGCATGTGTCTTAAATCAGGGAAGAAGGTCAAAGAAAAGTAAGACAGGAGCCGAAAAAAGAAGCGGCGAGTTCCAAAAACAATACTTGGCCGAGGCGGTGGGCGGCTGATCTTCCTTGGTGGCCGGTCCTTCAGACCAAGCTACAAATTGCTGCCATATCCCATCCCCGATGCAGTCCTCGGGCACGGCCGGAGGGCAAGGTGGGAGCATGGCCCCTCCTCTGCCCCCACGCCGGGATTAAGGCGGCATCGGAGCCTGACGGAAAGCCGGGCAGCTCCTGCAATCCGATCAGCCACTCGACAACTTTCCCTCCCGCCCGGCTTATCCCGCACGGAGATGCTGCACGGAGCTAAGCTGCTTTAGCGGGGCCAGGCCAGGCCAGGCCGTGGGGACAAGGGGACAGACGGTCGCGTGGCTTTGAGGCGGCCGTGGGCTGGTTGCCATCCTTGGAGGTGGCAGGGGGACGCTGGGACCGTCTCCGTGCTCTGCATCCCCGCGGTTCCCTTCCCTGCCTGTGCTGGTGCATGGAGCTGCGTGTGCCTGGGCATCTGTCACCATGTGTGTCATTGCTCGGGGTGACACCGGGCTTTGCCCTGCTTCAAAAAGCCAAGACGCTGCCTAACTGGGGCCACTGTCACCAGCTCAACCCACTGGCGCCCACCAGCATTGAGCCGGGAGCAGTGCAAGGCACAGGGAAAAGCTCCGGAGGAGGAAGCGCGCGGGGCCACACGGCCAAGGCAAGAAGCGCCCGGACGCCAGGGTCCCCTCTGGGACGCAGGACCCCCCTTTCTGCGGCCTCTGGTTAACGTGCTCTGCGCGCCGGCCTTTTCTGCGCGCGCTGCTGAGCCGTGCGGGCTGGGAGCGGGGACGTGCTGCAATCCCGCAGCGCAAGGCTCTTCTCGGGGCATTTCCGGCCGGGAATCTGGCGGCAGAGCTTGTTCTTGGGCCCCTTCCAGCCCGGGCTCGCACGGGGGTTGCAAAAGGCCAGCGAGGCTGTGGCGCCCGGTGCAGCCACACGCAGGGATGGTGACACGGGAGTACTGTCCCCCCGCAGCCCTCGCACGTGTGCAAACAGGTGGGGCTGGGCCCGAGAGCCCCAATTTTTCCAATGAAAAACAACCCCCCCACACACACGTTTCCTCCGGAAATTCCCGCGCCGTTTTCCCCGGGGGAGGAGGAGGAGGAGGAGGAAGGCGGCGGGGCGCCTCGGCAGCGGGTTTCGCTGCCCGCCGGCAG